CAGAAACTGGCGGAAATGTACCGAGAGCAATGTATTGGTTTAGAGGATGAGCTCGCAAGAATAAGGGAGCGGACTGATGTTAGTGAGGACATTTTCAAGGAGAGAACAGAGAAGATGAGTAAAAGATTGGCCTTGATGAATACCAGATATGAAAACTTGGAGAAAAGGAGAGCATTGGAAGTTGAGGGGTTTAAAACTGATATTAAGATGCTCAGGGACAAGCTGAAGAATGTTGAGAAACAGTTATTCAAAGTAAGTTATTTTTCTTTTTCTTTTTGTGTTCAAGTCTCAACCAGGGCTGTCACTTCAAGGGTCATAAGTTAAACCTATAATGCCTGTCATAGTGAAGACTGCTTGATGGGCCCTTGATGTCAGGGCTGTCAATAAGGGCCATAAAACATAACACCTGTTATGGCTGAGTATGGTTGATGACCCTTGACGTTATGGGTGAACTGGACTATGGTTGATATAATCCACTCAAACAGTAACTAGTTTGCTACGGGTGAAAAGATCATGGCTGCAGTTGATACAAAACTTATTGACAGCCCTGGATGTTACCGGTGAACTTGCCTGTTGTCAATAGCATTCACACACAACATAACAAGTTTGTTACAGGTGTGAAGACTGACGCAAGGGGTGACTTAAAACTAAATGACAGTGCTACTCTCCATTATCTCACCCTAAGTATCGGAACTCTCTCAAGATCCTTCTTGGAAAACAACTTGGACCCCAAGATGAATAACCCGAGTGGAGGCAATGGCATTTGCAGCACCTCTACCATTCACTGTAAAACAATATCTGAGTATGAAGCATAAAAATTCATGATCAAGTAACAATAAATAAGAAATATTAATAGGCTCTGTAGCTTTGAAAAAGAATTAAAACCAAGCACTTGGTTGTAAGAAGCCTTTAGCCTGTACTATTGGTAGTTATTTTTCTCACACTGGCAAAAAAAAAAAATTAATATTTTCTCCTTTCTCCCACTGGCTCCCACTAAGATACCCTTATCACAGGTTAGGGCTGACTATGTAGACTACAAAACTAGTTTTTCCAGTTTTGCCAGGTTCATCTGACTTTCAATCTTTTCATTTATAGGTGACGGTTAACATGGGAGATGATTACGATGAACAAGTGCTTAGAAATGTTCGACACACTGCAGGAAGGTCAAAGAAACTTGTCGGTGAACTTCACAATCTTAAGGCCAAGATTTATTCTTTAGAGAATGATGTTAGACATATGGGATAATGTGATTGGAGCATTTTGTGGCAATTCTAAATACTGTTAATACGTTAACCAACATTAGTCTTCATATAATGACATGGTCTTATTCAACCTCATTTTTGAAATGTTTACTAATAAATTGTACTGTCTACCCTTTTAAATGGTGAGAATATTTTATTTTTTTTGGTGTAAAATCACCCTTAATTAATGTATCTACATGTATGTACTAATTTCTATTGCTTCTTATTTTTGCTTCCAACATGATTTTACTTGTTGGTTGATATGAAAATTTTCTCTTAACATTTATAAGGAAACTTCGTTTTTTTTTTAAGGATCCTTGTTGTTAGATGCAGTGGGTCAGGCATGACTGTTTTCTGTTATCGTGATATTCTCATTTTATTGAATGAATAGGGAAATAGGCTGTGCAGCTTGCCTACATTTCACTTTCTGTAAATAGTATTTAGTTGGGACAGTATCATTTGTGTATTATGTAATTTTATACAAAAGGCAGCTTAATGTGTTGTAAGTTTTCAGGATGGCAAATTAAAACACATTTTGAAAGGATCTGAGAGGTTACAAGTCATTCATTCAATTGGCACCATCACTTAAAAAAGTGTAACATGTATCCTTTGAACTTCATGTTGCATCGCAAGTTCAAAACATTGTTGCCCATTTCTCTAAAGCCCTGGAAACCTTTTGGGCCTGCAAAGCCATTTTTAGTTAATCTGTATTCATCTAAAAACAGAGGTGTATACACCTGAAATTTATTGTATGGTAAACCTTTGTTCATATTAAGTGTATGTGAATAAAACAGCTCCATAATCATAAGGTTTGATATTTTGCTATGGCTTTTGGGATGAGAAAACTTTTTGGGACCTTCAAGAAACGGGCCCCAGGTTGGAGGTCACATATTGAACAAGCCCTACTTAACTTTGTGCAACATGTTGCACTAAGTTGCAACACACAAAGTAATCTGTGCCCCCACACTTGATTTAGTTTTTGAGAAGTCCCACATTTTTCTCAAGGTGACTGTTGATCACAGACCTCTGTTGAAATGGCTTTTTCTCAGGCCGTTGCACACACTATTGGTTTCACTCACAGATTCAAAAGTGATCCCGTGATGACGATGAATTTCAAGTTTGATGAGTGAATCTTTCCTTGGGGAAGGTGCTCCAGTTTGTTTACAAGTTTGTTGCAGAGGTTTGCACTTTCAAGCCAGGTACAATTCAAGATATGTTACGGAGAAGAGTTCGACAGATGCAAAATCCATTGCATTGATAAGATTTGACTTGAACTTGCTACTTTTGAGTAATTTGCGACAGCTGTGCTGCAAACTGTAGCCAAGAGATGTTTGTTATCACATAATCACTTTTTTTGAATCCGCGTCTGAAACCAATGGTGCATGCAAAGGCCTGAAAAAAAGCCATTTCAACAAAAGTCTGCAATCAGTAGTAGCTGAAGTTCAAAGCAGCAGGTTCCCAAAATTGCCATAGCAGTCAAAATTTACCTAATTTGGTCAACCTGGCAATTTTGTTGTAACCATTGATTCTACAGCAAACAAGATAAAATAATTATTATGATCCACTACCAATTAAATAGCTTTGAAACCTTTTATTGAATTCATAACCCTAATTAATTACTCATTAAAGCTACTATAAACAATTTCTTTGGCTGAACAGGTCATAACCTAATATAATAATAACTATAATCTAGGAAATCCTCATTCGATTATGTACAGGCTTAAAATAGAAGATCTCTGCAAAAATAGAATACTGTCAACAATCTTGCTTGGTAACAATACTTATTATATGGTTAACTCTGCAAATGGGCAAGATAAACTTAATCCTGAACTAGCTGGCCCAAGCAGGCAAGACAGCTATCATGCCCACTCCAGATTACTGCTGTATCTCGCAAGAAAGTGGTGACCTATATGTCATTACCCTGCAAGCAGCGCCCTTCGATCTTCCTAGAAAAATTGCAAATCCTTCCTCTTGAAAGACACTCTGCTCACAGGGTAGTATGTCATAATANGACCTATATGTCATTACCCTGCAAGCAGCGCCCTTCGATCTTCCTAGAAAAATTGCAAATCCTTCCTCTTGAAAGACACTCTGCTCACAGGGTAGTATGTCATAATAATAAATCCGTTATCGACCAAGCTTATTTGATCAAGATGGGTAGATGTTGTCCTCAACCTTTTTTCTTTCGCATGGTTATGGACCTTGACGGAGATTCTCTTCATAATGCACAAAAAAAGATCTTGGCTAATAACAGCTCATCTTCACTTATACATTTACATATCAGCGGGTTAAGTAAACATTCAAACTTAATTTGATAATATGCTAAGTGATGGAAAGTATGCTAAGTATTTTTACCTGTACTAGCAAAATGGCATCACTTCATGGAACATTACTGCACAAAAGCTAGCCCTGTTCAAGTCTTGATACCCCCATTCCTTCCTCTGCTTAAAAAAGATAATTTCCCCAGAAAAACTCCTCAGTGCAGTGTTAATTGCCATAATGATTATTACTTCAAATTTCAAGTATACAGAAGTGAAGTACTGATATTAAAACACAGAATGACACTCAAAAGCAGGTTGTGGATCATTGAACTGTTTCTGAGATTTTAAGAACGTACAAACAAGAAGCCCAACAATAATAATAATAATAATAATAATAATGATAATAATAATACAATTTTGAAGAAAAGCACTTCACCAATCACAGTAATCATTTAAAAATGAGGATTTATGACTGATGTCATGTTTTCATTTTAAGAAAATTCTCAATGATCAAGGATGTTGATATTTCAAGATAAACCCAGACATAATTACTGACTTGTGAAAACAGGATGAAACCATATCCTTAGTTGTCTGGAACAGCTGGTAATAAATCAGAAACATTGGAAGCATCTGGGATTTCCTTGACATGAAAACAAGGCTCCACAATGCCAAGGAAGGAAATGAAAAACAAAAACAAAAACAAAAACAAACTCAATAAATAATACAGTATGTATCCTGTGTTTTCTTTTTCACGAGTCACCAGTCATTCAAGAAAAGATAATCATGTGAGGAAATACAAACTAAAGGGACAAGACTTAATATATTTTGAGAACTATAAAATAATCCATACCTCTAGAAATTTGTTACCCATATAAGTCAAATTAACTAACTCCTAAATGGTTCAAATGAATGAAAATCACAAAAAATAATATGCAGATACTGCAGAATTTTCATCTTAACATGACTTGGCTCAAAGATCCTAATTGGATTTGCTTTTTATGCACATGCCTCCAGCCTGAAACCAATAATTATTAATTTAGTCAACAATTTTTTAATGCTGTCCTTGCTGTACAATTCATTTCTGTTTAATTATTATATTTCTTTCCATACACGCATACCTGGTACGGACATAATAATTGCAAAAATGGAACGGAATTTTCAAGAGTGGTTCTGCCGTGGCCAGACAGGATATAATGATAGCGAAGGCAAAGTACAACATGGGATAAGAACGTGCAATAAATGCGGCATGAACAACATGCTGAATTGGCAAAACTTTTGATGGTACGACTGGAGAAACTTGAAATATTGGATGTTAGTATTTGCTAATTTCTTGTTGGCTAGACATATGAACGAAAAACAATTTGCTCCAATAAATTGCCCAAGAACAAGGTATAGCAACTGTAACCTTTAAGTGTCTGATAAACATTTAAATATAAATAAGCCCTTATATAAAACTGCCTGGATAAAGAGAATTTTTGTAGAAAGATTAGTAAGGTTCATTTACCCTGCAGAAAATTTTTGGCACGCTTTTGAGATAAACGGTATATCTGCCAAAAAAAGGGCTCAATGTGGATAAATTTTGTTACTGTGATGACGAAAAGTTGTTTGCACAACAACATTTATTTGTACCAAGGCATTTGTTATTGATATACATGCTATTTATATCTGAACCGTGCCTAAAAATTTCCTGTTGCGCCCTTGAAAAAAATTCTGGAGAACACAGTCTGAATGATGCCGGATTATTTAGATTTTCCAAACCATCTCCAAGCAAAGTGCACCTTGGAATTTTTTTTAAAAAAAACTTCTACAACCCAGCTCCTTCAGTTTCAAGTGTATCCCACCTGTTGGAGTTTCATAATCTTATTACTAGTGACAATTTTAATTTCATTGTAGAGAATATTATTCTCATGTGGGAGTTGAATATTTTCTTGGAGTGGCAATAGGACTCATTTTTGGTGAGGATCTCGTTGAGCTCTTTGTGTTATATCTAGAGCGCCATTTTCCAAACAGTCCTTTCCTGTTAAGAGTTGATTGTGAACCTTGCAGATCCTCTGACATTGTCCTCTCAGAATCCTATATCATGAAGAAGAAAAACATATTAACATATCTATTGACTCATGATATACAGTCAAACCTCCACTAACGGCCACCTCCCTACAACAGCCATCTCTCTACAACAACCATTTTTTCATCCTAGCGGAAGGTCCATATATTCGTGAACCCTTATCTTAACCCCTCTGCAATGGTCACCTCACCACAATGCCAACGGCTACTAAAATGCTTCCTAAACTGCCAAAATAACCTCTCCATAATGGCCAGTTAATCAACGACTGATGAATGGGGTTTACCAAACCCCGTGTTATATTATAAAAGGCCACAAAACTTGATCCGTACTGCATGTCGCTGGTCTCTGTTTCTGTCTAGTTTCTGTTTTATTGATATGTTTTGATTGTGTTAGGTATTTCTATGCTACAGTCAGCATTTTTTAAATATAAAAATGTTGTACTACCTCCTCCCAAAAAAACAGGAGTCACATTACACCCTTACTGAACCATAATGGCCACCTCTCTATAACAGCCACTTTTATCTGTCCCCAGGGTGGCCCTTGTAAAGAGGGTTGACTGTATTAATATTTATTAAATAATAATTACTACATTAATATTAAACCAAAAATATTAACAAATTTATTGTTATAATGTATTGCTTAAAATATTATTAGTATCTATTAATAACTAAAAAATTAATATTAAACTAATAATTAAAAATGATATTGTTTTACTTTGTATACTCACTTAAAGAACTAATAATTCGAGACATGCTGTCTTTGGATTGTGATTTTTTTCTCTTCTCTTTCTCCCGTTTCATCTTGGCGTGTTTTTTTATCTTTTCTGGATTTCCATCTACAATGTACTGTTTTATGTTTGAGGGATTAGTAGAGCATTAGCATTAAGACCAGCAACATCAAAAAATAGTGATTAAAAATAGTAGATGGAAGTTGATTACAATTTGATAAAAAATTACAATGTCATTAGTAAGAAACCAATAAAAGCCCATGGTTGTAAGAAGAGGCTTTAAAAGGCAACTTGGAAGTGGGCTATTCATTTAGTGTCAATGTTATTATAAAATTATTAATTAGGCATCAACATGGACATACACTGTAGGTAAAAGATACAGGCGTTATTCCCTTATATGAGCCATGTAGGTATGTGTGGCCCCAAAGGGTAGGGTCTTCAGTCATTTTGGTCCCAAATAGGGTAATAAATAGGGTATGGTCTTGAACTACTAAGCTACTTTTTCAGGTCATAAATAGGGTAGGGAAAATGGCAGATTTTGGTCATAAATAATGTAAGGGTTTAGGGGTTTTGGGAAGTGGGCTGCACACTACCGCCCAATTTTCCTGGGAGTACACCCCCCTCCTTCCCCTGGGAAAGATTGAAATATGAATCAATACAATATGCACAATTGCACAGCTCAAGGTCTCTGTCCCTGTTAGTGTCATGGAATTGTAATGAGAAATTTCTTGTTGATCACCCTTGCACATGATGTACATTTGAGGAGCTAACCTCTTCTGTAAAGGCACTGTCGAGGGATGAAATACTGCTGCTTTTCTTGAGTTCTGCAAATTCTGAAAGAAATAAAAACATAGATCTGTTAACTAAAGGTACTGTTGTTTAAGAAGGTTAAACATCTAATGTTCAACTAAAGATAAATAAAGAAGTACCCACTAACAGAGGTACAGATCTGGGATGTGGCAGACTAGTTGAAATGATAATTACGAAGTAATGCATTTATAAACAATCAGTTTCACAAATACAAGGTCCATCCACAATGAAGGCAGTGTTCCAGATAAGCAAGGGTCTCAGGTCAGAAACCCGACAAGACAGCTACATGACCCGACAAAAAAATATTATAGGGTGGTCGGTGGGAGCAGTGAGAGAATTGACCCAGTGGAATTCCTAATTGACATCCCACTTTGAAAACCTACATGTGACTGGAACCCTGAAAGGTCCCAGTAGTGCTCAGGAAAACATTTGCTGTATATATTTCCTTCTCCTCAGCCAGTGCAAAACTACCCATTAACACCCTCAGTGATGTGTAGCTAAGCTTACAGTTCATGTACAAAAGACATAAAATATTTATAGATTAAAAAGTAACCCAAGAGCATCAAGTACCTCCACCTTCGTTGATATTTAATAGTGAACTTGACAATTGCTTTGATCCCAACAGACCAGCTGTGCTCAGGGATTCCATTGAACTTGTACTGTCAATCAAACTAATTGTGTCAGGAGAAGGCTTTTTAATTTTCTTTGGCAATGTCAATGATGCACGATTTAGGTCCACTCCTGATCTGTTGAATCTGGCACCAAGGTGCTTCTGCTTCTCTGTTGCTGTAAAAAAAAATATATATATAACATTATGATTGTTTTTGGTAATAAAAACGGTTCGAAAAAAGTACTGTCTGGTCATCCGGGACAAGTAGAT